AAGTGTCTGATACTTGCTACTCTTCTTAGATGCATGTCTGACAAATCTTGGACACATGTTTTTCAAAGTTTAAGAACCGGTCAAACACCACACCAAGATTGCGGGCATGCGTACTGGGTACCAGAACAGCATCGCCTATTTGTAGGTTTTGGATTTTGATTTTGTGTTGAAGTTGTGGGGAAGAAATAATCATGAACTTTGTCTTAATTCAATTCAATTCAATTCAAAAGCACATTTATTTCCATGCTTTCATTAAAATACGAATCAAGAATACACGTAAAATAAATAAGATCCATAAATACTGTGTCATACAATAAGAGAAAATAGAGGAAACTTGTGAAGATAGAAAGTATGGAGCTGTTCATGTAAGCAAGGGCTTGTAGAGAACAGTCTGTAGACAGACAATTGGACTAGGGACATCTTGAAAATAGTTCGTGGTACCCGTTGCTTCATTTGACTTGGGCCGGCCAGCCGACCCCGGCAAGCTTGGTGGTCGAGATGTTGAGACATCTGCACCAGTAAGCAGGAGGTCGTGGGTTCAAGTCCCACCCGAGTAAGCTTGTGAGGTTTTTTTTGCAAGCTCTCGGACAAGCACTGAGCATACAGTGCTTATTAATATACGTTGGGTAAGGGCAAACCCATTATATATAATTAACATCTCCCCAACGCAAAAAAAAAAATTCATCGTGAAAATGCATAGATACAGAAGTAAAGGCGAGATAAAGGATGAAGTAAAGGAAGACATTGTCTAAGGATGAGAAGCATGTAACATATTGTGAGAGGAAGCTCTTTTGTAGGAGGACTTGAAGTGGCCAATGGACAGCATTGTTCTGATTTCCCTATCAATGGTGTTCCACAGACGGGGACCACAGAAGCGAAGAGTAGAACTGGAATACAGGGTGCCGGTGAATGGAACACACAAATTGTGATGGGATCTGGGAGAATAACCGTGTGTATCTTGGATTGAAGAAAAGAAACAAGAGAAGCTGGTGGGCAAATGATTCTGTGTGAATTTGTACACAAAGATACCAGTGAGATATTTATTTAAGTCATGAAAAGTAAGAGTACATGTATGTAACCTTGAAAATAGAGGTGCAGAGTGTTCCCGATGGTGTGATAGAGTGCAGATAAAGATAGCTCGCTTTTGAGTGATGTATAGAGAGTGTACATGTACATGTAGCTTTGTGTTAGATGTATGCGGCATGACAATATTGCAATAATTCAAGTAAGGTAAGATAAGGGAATTATAAAGAAGAACTAAGCATTCGGGAGGTAGAAAGAGACAAAGTTTGGACAATACGCCTGTGTTGCGAGAAAAAATATTAGTAATAGAAGAGATGTGCTCTGTCCAAGTGAGTTTGTGGTTGACATAGACACCGAAGAATTTCGGCGAATCGACCCTTATGATGGGAATACCATCGACCTTTACTAGAGGTAAGTCGATGTTTTAAGAACAAGCAGCCTTGCTAAAGAAGATGAAGTCTTTTTTGGAGAAATTCAGGGAGAGTTTATTGGCTTTGGACCAAGAGGAAACATTGATAAGTTCAGAATTGAGAGTTTCGACCAATGAAGAGACGCTAGGGCTGGAGTAGAAAATCGAGGTATCATCAGCGAAGAGAGTAAAGTGTGGGGTTGGAGAAGAAAAACAAAGGTCATTAACAAAGATCAAAAAGAGCACAGGACCAAGGATGGACCCCTGAGGGACCCCATGTTGAATATTGAGTTGAGGAGACTCAACATTTTTAATGGAAGTATATTGATACCTATCAGAAAGATAGTCAGAAAACCAGGTGAGAGGGACTCCCCTGATACCGTAGTAATTAAGTTTAGAGAGAAGAATAGAATGATTGATAGTGTCAAAGGCTTTAGAGAGATCAATAAACAGACCAATAAATGACTCTTTGTTGGTGAATGCAGTGTTGATTTTGTCAACCAGTTGGATGAGAGCCATGTCAATTGAGTGTTTGGAGCGAAAACCACACTGCTAATCAAACAAGATCTGAAATTGAAAGATGAATTGTGAAAGACGATTGTAGACGAGCCTCTCAAGAATTTTGGAAAAACAAGGTAAAATAGAAATAGGTCTGCAGTTATTGATGGTTCGCTTATCACCACTTTTGAAAATAGGGATGATTTTGGCAATCTTGAGTTTCAGGGGGACAGAGCCGGTTAGGAAAGAATGACTGAAGATATACATGTGCATGTCCATGTACTGTAGCTCAGTGGTTCAGCAAAAAGAGGAATAACAGTGGAGCTAATCTCATCAAATCCACAGCTGCTTCCCTTCTTAAATTTCTTGCCACTCTGAATGATTTCTAGTGTATTAGTTGGTGTGAGGAAAAAAGAGGAAGGATTACATGTAGGACTGTGAAGGGTGTCGGTAAAGTTAGTGGCCGAGGAAGGAATTTTGTTTGCTAGGGAAGAACCAATACTTGTAAAAAATGTGTTAAAAGAATTGGCAATATCTGCAGGGATGGAGAGGATGTTTCCTCCATGGACAAAGTCATCAGGCGAGGAAGTATGTTTCCTCTTGGCTAGAATGCTGTTTATTTCTCTCCAAAGTCCTTTAAGGTTGTCCTTTTCTCGATGAAGCTGATAAGCGTAGTAATCTCTCTTTGCAGAGCGAATAGTAACTGTTAATCGGTTGCGAAAAACCTTATAATATTGCTTGTTTGCTTCCGTGGGATTACGCAAGAATCTCCTACGCAGCCTGTTTTTGAAAATGCAGGAATCGATGATGGACCGATTAATCCAAGGTTGATTTTTCTTGGTTTTCCCAACTGTTTTAGAGATGAGAGGAAAGTGGTGGTTGTAGAGGGAAGAGAACGTTGAGAGAACAGTCCTTTTAACAAAATAAAAATCATCACTTTGGCTAAAGTACAATGTAACAAAAGACAGATTACAGTTCTACCTGTATGTGAACTTATCATACAAATATGCAATGGGGGGGAGGGGGGAGAGAATTGTCCAACTCCCATGCGGACCTTCTTACATTTACACAATACCCTACCTCCTATACAGTACGTGTACATGCTGATAGACACCTTAGTTGGCACACTTTCCTTCATTTTACCCAGTATAGCTTTGTGTTAGATGTATGCGACCAGATAATATTGCAATAATTTAAGTCAGGTAAGATAAGGGAATTAGAAGAACTAAGCATTCGGAGACTCATTGGAACAGGGGAAGGGTTTCATTTAGAGTTCTCCCCTCCCCTCTGCCATCAAGTACTGGATACTGTCATCCAGACCATTTGGGCCTGTTTTCCTTTGGTTATATGTCGAGAAAGTTACGTGTACATGTATATCAGGACTTACTTCCCGGTATCTGAGTTGCATGTAATCATTACAGCAATTTTAACACTTTTGAACTACACCTGTACATGTACATGTGTACAACTAACTGTGCATGAATCTTGTATCCATGTATTGTGAATGTGCACACTGTGCATGACACGGCTAATATTATTATGCCCTCAAAGCATAAAACTTTGTTTTTTCTTTACTGTGGAGTACATGTACGTGCACTGGTGTGGTAAATGCACATGTACATGTACACAACATGTAAATCACATCACCAAAATCTCCATTACGCAGCTTTCTCTTGATTCCTGATGGAGCAGGTGCTTCCTGCGACAAGAGCAGGATAAGTATACATTGCTAATCTATCAGTACGTGTGTATATGTACGAATACTAGACTTCGCAAACCCTGTAGCGTCATTGTGTGAAATACACAAAGCCGAACTCCCCCTTTGGTGTACGGTAGAAAATAAGTTCCATCACTGCACTGAGAGGAGAGGTATGGATCTTGCAGGTGCATGAAGGGAAGTGGCTATCAAATGGGATTTAATAATAAAGAGTGTGAATTGATTTGAAACCTCCTCTTGGAGCTCACGCCCAAGATATTAGAATTTCAAAAGGGATGCAGTGCCAGTGGCAGGGGTTTAGATAATTGTCTTCTAGCCATGAGTACAATACCCTTCTTCCTTACTCAGAGTAGAGAACAGTACTCTTTAGCCCTCAGTATGGTTTCGTATTGTGCTCTTCTTTTTTGTGGGGAAAGTACTGTACTCCCTAAGAGATGGAGGAACTGAGTACCGATATTATGTAAGTTAGTCCTTTTACCTCTGTAAACACGGTACAATAATACTAGTAAAGCAATTTTACTAGTAATTGTTATTTCTCTTGAAAAAGACAGTAAAAAAAACAGTGCTTAGTGATAACCATGAACTCATGACAGCATAGACCAAATCATGTAAGTCCGTAACCACCCATGTACAGTGGCACATATGAGACTACCGCCCATGGACGCCAAGTTGACCGGCCGCAAATCAGAAAATCATGGTGCACTTCATCGCTTGGTGGTCAAATGCACTCACATTCACGATCTAAACTTCACTCTTTCTAAGGTGTTTCAGACTCAAATCATCCAAAAATGATATCTGGTTTTGTGTAGATGTACCGGAAAGCCTCTAAAATGCTACTTGAAAAAAATGCCCGTGTTTAGCAGATCAAAACTTACAAAAATCTGTGAAATAGTGAGGTCTCATGAAAGCAATTTTACTTCATCATGGGGAGTCCGCTGACGAAGTTTTTGGATACAAAAATGATCCATGCACAATGTAGTAGCCCATTTCGGTCTACAACACATTTCGCTTCAGACAAAGGGAACTGGGCCTTGTAACAAAAGACCGTACTTGTAACAAAAGACCAGGCTGCTGGGCATTACCAACATTTTTTCACTCTCAACAGTGGAGACAATCCAGCCGTGTTTTAAAACAGTATACCACAGTTTTGGGAATTTAGCGCGATCAGATTACCACCGGGGATAAAAGCGTTCCACCAATGCAGCGATGAGCCACACAGCACCGCTGCATGCTAATTTGGCCCCTATCGAAAAGAGGTCAGCAGCGCACTGTGCCAGGTTTGTGAACAAAAGAAAATCACGTAACACCACACAATCTGGGCTCTTTTTACAAGGCAGCAGGCCTGGCTGATATATTCCAGCATCAATACATGTTGTCTGTCAGATTAGAGCAGAAACCAGACAGTCCTTTGTGTGAGTGTGAATGCCCAGTAAATGAAGTTCGGAATTGTTAAAAAATTTTGAAAGCAGAAAAAAAACGATAATTATCCAGCCCAAGCATCATCAACATTGGTAACTGCCAACGGCGCAAAGTGGTTAAAACGTTTCTTTAAAATGGATGGAACCAGAGAAAGCAAAGTCCAAGCCGAATCCACTCATTTCAAAAACGCCCTTTGTATGCAGCAGACTAAGCGCTGGTAAACAGCCCTGATACTAAAGCATAATAGGGGCATAGCAAGTTTTGCCTTGACTTTGTATAAAAAAGCAGGGCACCAATGCAATTTTCAGAATTATTAAAGGGCTTCAAGGCAATAGTACAAGTACTGCATAGGGTAGCGAGGCACTTTTGCAAATGGGACATTGTTTAAAAAAAGACGTAAATAAACATATTCTAAGTCAGTAAGTAAAAATTATTCAGACTGTAGTCTTTTCTCTGTTTCCTTGACGGTTAAATTTTATTAATCAACAGAAAGGCTTGCTTATTCTTTATGTTATAGGCCTATTATAGGAAGTGGGCATTAAGCTACAATGTGAGTTAGCTGGTGCATGCGAATGCATACCGGTGCATGTACATGTATATTGAAAATGACACTTCGATTTTGGGCAGACACCAGTGAAGGTTAGCAACTGACGCTTGCTGTGCAGTGCGCACTGTTTCTAGCAAATTACATGTACATGTACTTATGCGTGTACATGTAGCTGTACAACGTACCGGTATAGGGCCTACACGTGTGGATCCATGTGCAATCATCATCACACATGTACCATTACATGTATATGTTTTGACATCGAGGAACAAAAATAAGCTCTCTAAAAATAAGGTGTTGCCTGCAAAGTTCAGCGGTCGGCCTTGTCAGGACTTGAGGGTATGGGTCAGCACGACAGCAACACTCTTGAAAGGTACGGCAAGTCACTGCCGTTAAAAATGGGCATTTTTGAAAGGCATCACAGCAATGGCTGAGGAATTGCCATCGATGGCTGGGTAAATCCTTAATGTACTTACTCCACATTTTCTTCCATGTAATTTTCCATTTAGTAGTACTCTGTGTGGCGAATGGCCTGTCCGAGCTACCACCCACATTCTAGGCATCTTCACACTCTGTCAAAGCACTTTAGTTCTCTCCTTCCAAGCCTCCGCCCCAACAATGCATGCATGCAAACTTGCAGAAAGTACTGATACTACATGTAAGTACATGTACATTACACATGTACATATCTGGAGCAGGGAAGCACCCAGGAGTGATTTGTGATGGTTCATTAAACCCATTCTACCAGTGACTGTATACATGTATGTACTTTATACAACTGCCTCATGCACACTGCAATGGTCCACTGCACACTGATACAGTCTCATGAGCTCTCCCTCTACAAAACAGGTCAGTACATATACATGTACACTCACCATTCTGATGTGGGCGTTCAACAGTAACCGCGTCCAGCCCATCATCCTGCTGATGGCATCATAAGCCGTGCACTAACTGTCGTCCTTCCCACACGACAACGGTTGATGTCTTGCTATCCATTATACAGCCCACCTGCCTGCTGGTGCACTCTATCTGCCCGTAAAAACATTAAAGAGTAATTAAAGTGCCAAACACAGCTCGGTTGGGATATCTGACGGTGCATTGGGCTCCCGTCGAGGGTCAACATATTGTACATGCATTGTCAGAGATTGCCAGGCGTATTAGTATAATTCATAAGAACTACCTAAGCCACTGCTCCATCCCCGTTAACCCTAACAGTCCTCAATCCTTCACCCGTTGGAGGACTGAGGACGGTTAGGGTTAAGATGAGGAGTATAAGTGCAGTCACATTACGTATGGTACATGTAAACAAGGGGATGGTTCTAATACACTGCCAGTGCATTGTTTCTCAATGTAACCATACTGTATGGACCATAGACGTGTGATGCACCCACTTAACATACCTGGTACATGTACGTGTTTGCAACGGTGGCAGAAAGAAGTGGGAGGGAGGGGGAGAGTTGTGAAACCATCAGGTACATGTACATGTACGTGTACAGGTAAAGGCCGAAGCATTGAGCCCTACCCCATTATAGGAACTGCAAAAAGTGGGAGGGGGGAATGTCCCCCAAGTTGAGAAAGTTGGGGCCAACCCCCTCCTCCTTCCCGGCATCCGCTGCCAGTGTAATGGGGTACCCGGTGCATACATGTACATGTACATGTAAGTAGACGTTAGGGAAAGAAGCATACTGATACATGTACATGTACATGTACATGTATGCGCATGCCTGCGACATGTACTTGAATATAAGAGGTCATCGTCCATTTCCTTTTTCACTTTCACAAATGAAGAAAACAATCCACACTTTTCCTTTAACCCTTCCCTCTCTCACAAGAGTTCACAAAAATGACGGTCCGCATTCTCACAGTTTTGGAAAAAACAATGCTGTTAACCCTCCCTGACCAGTGTAACGGTACATTTAGTATGCTCCTACATGTACATGTAAATGTTTCAAAAATTTATGACCCCTAAAAAGACTTGATGTCCATGTACCGGTAATTGGGACAGTATCCATGTGTAAGTAAAGTACATGTGCATGTATGTGTCCCATACAAGACACCTGAAATGATAATAGGAAATTGTCAACCAATTAACCTTCAAGCCACTGATGACTGCACAAGTACATCTAAGCTTAGTATAATGTACATGTATGTACAGTAATGAAGAGCCTGACCATGTTTTAAGTCTTGAAAGTACAAATTAACACCTAGGGAACCACCCACTCCTGAACTACATGTAGGGAGGGTACATGTAGTACCAGTCCGCTCTGAGCAGAACAAAACAGGGCATTTTTTTTGGTACTCACCGCATAGGGACGTGTTCACATGTATAATGGAGATCAATGGTGTGTTTGACGTGCAGCATGCTGAATACACGTCATGAATTTATTTCTTAATGCGTGGTCTTTGCGTATATATGCAGAATGCGTACAAGAACTTGGAAAAATTACAACCTTTTGCCGGCTTGGGAGCGCACTTCAACTCAGGGCGGATAACAAACTCTAATCTTTTAAGACACACCCCCTTCCCTTTTTTTAATCTTCTCATAGCTGAAGCAGACAATTTTGTGAATTTACGGTATCTGGGAAGTTTATTTACACACATAAAAAAAATCGTGCAAGTTGTACATGAACATGTATCCTTGTAATACATGTACATGTACCTCCACATGATTTGGTGACAACAGTGCTTTTACATGTTGGTATTTTCTTGCCGTGCTGCAGAGCAAAAACTACACAAAATGCTTTCAAAGCTTGCTTTTTCCAAAGAACTTTTTTGAACCAACTGAAACATGAGTAGAATAAATCATGCAGAGTTCCAAATCCACGGCAAAAAGAGAACAGTTCATTTAATATGATATGAGCAACTCCACAGAGAGCTACTGTTCAGGTACCTGTATACATGTACATGTACTTGTACATGTACATTAACAAGTACATGCATGACTAAGACTTGATACGTAGTTTGGCCCACAAACACAATTATTATTTCTGATACAATGATGGTTTCTAATTTAACAATTACAAAACTGTAGGAGGAACATGTACAATGTACATGTGCATGTAGTATGTACCGACGGATACTACATACATGTATGTAAAAACACTGTGACACTGGAGTGAAATCACAGCATTGGAAACTGTATACCAACAATTACTCCTGATTTACAGTCACAAATGGGCGGAAGTACACACAGTACATGTACAATATGTGGTTTCACTCGTAAGTTGTAGATTGAATGATGATACATTGTACATGTACCAGTACATGTACATTTTACACATGTAAAAAGGATATATATGGCAGTGCTCAAGAAGTGGCAGACTGTTATTACTCTCACTGTCCCACTAACGCAACTGATGTGGCAGTCAGTCATCTACTGCATCTTCAGGTCCCTTTTTGCCAGTTGCTTGCTCTCTGTTATTTATGTTGATGAACGTGATGAAATAAAACATCTGATCATTTGTTTTTTCTTTTTTCACTTGGTTTCAAAATGACTTCAATTACAAACACTTGTTTTTACACTCTTTGGTTGGACTTTTTCCCCGATGACTGCAGGACACAGTCTTATGACATGTACCGGCGTACAATGTAAGTTACAGTTATGTACATGTAAGCCACAAACTATTGATACATTAACATACATAACACCATACGGTACATCATTCTTTAACCTACCGTAAGTTCTTTTACTGGGTACTTTCACAAAATTACCCTAAATATATGTGCAAAACAGAAACAATAGCAATCACTTCAAATGAGCCCAAAGACATGTAACACAATACTCTTTTGGTACATACATGTATGTACAGTATGTGAACATTCCCTGATAATTTAAAGTCAATTCTTTAAATTACCTTTAGTTACATGTACATGTACATGTAAATGAGAGTATGTTTGACAACATCAATTTCTCAATTAAACTATTGAATGTAACGGTACGTACATGTATGTACATGTACATGATGTGAACTGTATTTGATGTTGTGGTGGATCACAGTTCAGCACTAAATTGACAGGTTAATTTTCAAGACAAATTGTTCACGCATATACCGTTACATGTACATATACTCATAAGAGGCATTGGAAAATGCATTCCTCTATACATGTACATGCATCTGTACATGTACATGTACATACATGTACCGGTATGTACCGTACACATGCTGCTCAGCATTAAGTTATCGATAAAGCCTTCTGGCAGAATAAAATTCATTACTCTTAACAGGCACGTAGCGGTACACTGAGCACACAAGGGAGAATTTAAAGTAATCACGAATCCACTCTTTGCATTCAATGCATCTTCCCAATCAATCTTCATTGTCCCCAAATGACCACTCAGACTACGAGAAGCAAATTATTTACCATAAAGAAGCTGGTACCCACATACATGAACATTCAAAATGTACATGTACATGTACATACCTGTACACGTTCACGCACATGGCCAAATGTTGATTGTTGACTATTTACAATAAAGCAGGCGGCAAGGCTGCATCAATATGAATAATTGAACATTTGACCTTCTATGAGATTTAATTCTCAAACATTTGGTTATTCATACCACATTCCCACCACAGCAGGTGGTCTAGATTGTTGAGTTTCAAGACTGGGGTCCAGCGCTCTTGAGAGCATCTTGTGGCCTTTTTTGCCTGGCATATGCATCAGCTGTCTTCAAGTAACAACTTGAAACTGCACTTTTGGAATGCAATTAAATATTGTATCCAAATGCTACTTTTCCACGTTTATTTCTCTGATTCTCACTGCAGTCTCAAAAACAGGTACTCCGATTTTCATAACAGACAGAAAACATGTACCGGTATTTTAATATGCAGCACAACAGTAACACTTGAAGTGAAATACATGTACGTGGCATGCATAATTCATGTTGTCCAGGGCAATAGTAAAATAAATCTACATGTCACAATTTGTGGTTAATTTTGTTGCATATAATTATTTTAGTTATCATAATCATGGACCTACATGTACATGTAAAATGTACATGTACATGTATATTTTCATTTCAACATGGACAAAATATACCAGTATGACTCGAAATCAAAAAAGATGTCTTCAGCTTGCCCACACTTCTGGAACTCTTTTCTTTTTCATTACCGGGAAACAGATTGAAATTGTCAATTTGTGCTCCCAATCACGGTTGCTTGCAAAACCACTGGGGGGCAGATCAGCCAATCTGATTGCAAACATGACCAGATAGAGGAGTTGGGTTCAAGGGTTTGGTCAAGATCCAACCAGGAGAACTGTGAGTGCAGAGGGGAATTAGCCTGCCCCAAAACACGTGTACATGTACAGTACAGTGTCAGTGGTCAGGTAGGAATTTTTAGAACACAACTTCAGCAGGTCAGGAATTCCCTGCAACTCTGCATGTACACGTATCATTTTTAAGTTGGTCAGAAAGTAAAATTAAAAATTTTCAGACGGTAAATAAAATCAAATTTACATTTTACACATACATACATGTATACATACTGGTATGTGTATACATGTACATGTGCATGTACATATACATGTAATTACAGTAAGCATACAAAAACACCGAGGTACAACGTAGACGGTGGCCTAAAACATCTAAACGTTTAAACAGTATGCAAAAGTTTTCAAATTAAACGTAAATTCTTACTCTTAGTACATGTAGATGTACTTCACTGCTTAAATTACATACATGTACACTTCTGCCTTGGTGCTCTGTTGCTATTTTGGTTCAATGATAACATGCCAAAGAGCAAAGTGCATAGATCATAATTATTTGCTACATATGTATATCAGCAAATTTTGGTTTAACAATCTGAAAAGAAAATTCCCATAATGCACTGTTTCTTCCTGTAATGACCTCACAGCAAAAGCACCCTCATTTGTCAGGAAAAGCTGAGACATTTTCAGTTAAAAAGCACACATTTCAAAGAGAAATGCCAGACAGAGATGTCAGATAGTTTTCTTACATTTACATGTGAGTGAAAAGTTGCACAATACTCCCATTCATTAGCAATTGTGGGATAATATCTTGTTGAAAT